AGTAATGTAATGAAAAGAAAAGTAAAACAAGGTAAATGCAGTTTGAATGACATTTTTTATATTTTGGTAAACTTGTTAAATACACTTAAAATAATGAACACAATCAAGTGCAGGCAAAATGAAACCTGCTAATAGATAAACCTGCAGCATCATTTAGTTAAGAACATTAGATGCTTTACTTAAATCACAAGGTTAACTTAACCTGCTTTAGATTAACTTAACCTGCTTTACAACTGAACCAGCTTCTTGGTAAACCCTCCAGGACAGAAAATACAAAGTTTCTACAAGCCTCCAGTTTTCCCTTTCAGTAAGGTCAGTGCTGAAAATGAGAAAAAATAAATAGTCAGAACAGAAAATGCGGCCAACATGAAGAAAAAACCTGTTAGGATTCCTCTACTTCACACACTATAGGTGCAACAACTGGTCATTATGCAAAAGAAAAAGAATTGGGAGGGAAATGCAGCTTATTGACATCTGAAGAGGGAGAGCTTTTAGTTAACTTGGAAGGAAACAGGTGCATCTATTGGTGGTGATGAACAGCCCAGGTAAGAAGCCTGAGTTTGTTAGTCGATCAGTAGGTTGTGTCAGAATACTTTTCTCTTTCTCGCTTCTTTGTAACTGTGACTTGTTCTCTGATAACTTGGGCAACTCACAAAAATAATGACTTCCCAAGGCCGGAGATCACTTCAGTGAATTTTATTATCTATTCAGTGAACAAAGACGCCACTTTAGTGCAAAGTATTTACAGACGACGTTCATGGGAGGTTAAAATCAACACAGCAGTTCTTTAGTTCAGCGTGTATCAGAGTCCAGCTGCAGACTGTTGAACAGAGCCCTGCTTTTAAAGCCACAGGCTCCTCCCACATAAAGCCACAGGCTCCACCCACAGAAAGCCACAGGCTCCGCCCACAGAAAGCCACAGGCTCCACCCACAGAAAGCCACAGGCTCCACCCACAGAAGCCACAGGCTCCACCAACAAAAGCCACAGGCTCCACCCACATAAAGCCACAGGCTCCGCCCACATAAAGCCACAGGCTCCACCCACAGAAAGCCACAGGCTCCACCCACAGAAAGCCACAGGCTCCACCCACATAAAGCCACAGGCTCCTCCACATAAAGCCACAGGCTCCACCCACAGAAAGCCACAGGCTCCGCCCACAGAAAGCCACAGGCTCCACCCACAGAAAGCCACAGGCTCCACCCACATAAAGCCACAGGCTCCACCCACAGAAAGCCACAGGCTCCACCCACATAAAGCCACAGGCTCCGCCCACATAAAGCCACAGGCTCCACCCACATAAAGCCACAGGCTCCGCCCACATAAAGCCACAGGCTCCGCCCACATAAAGCCACAGGCTCCACCCACAGAAAGCCACAGGCTCCACCCACAGAAAGCCACAGGCTCCACCCACAGAAAGCCACAGACTCCACCCAAAAGCCACAGGCTCCACCCACAGAGCCACAGGCTCCCCCCACAAAAAGCCACAGGCTCCGCCCACATAAAGCCACAGGCTCCCCCACAAAAAGCCACAGGCTCCGCCCACATAAAGCCACAGGCTCCGCCCACAAAAAAGCCACAGGCTCCTCCCACAAAAGCCACGGCTCCTCCCACAAAAAGCCACAGGCTCCACCCACAAAAACCACAAGCTCCGCCCACAAAAAGCCACAGGCTCCGCCCACAGAAAGCCCCAGGCTCCACCCACAAAAACCACAGGCTCCGCCCACAGAAAGCCACAGGCTCCGCCCACATAAGCCACAGGCTCCGCCCACATAAAGCCACAGGCTCCTCCCATATAAAGCCACAGTCTCAACCCACAGAAAGCCACAGGCTCCGCCCACAGAAAGCCACAGGCTCCACCCACAGAAAGCCACAGGCTCCACCCACAGAAAGTCAAATCAAGAAAACAAAAATTAAGCAATTACTCCTAACTCAAATAAATTCTTAAAGTATACAAAATAATTAATAAGAGAAAAAAATTAATAAACTTGTAATCCAAAAATACAATAATCCATTTAACAGCCGACACTCAGTACGTCCTGATGACGTCACCACATCACGCAACTCTCTCCCGGTGCGTCACAATCTGGAAACAAGCCAATTGAAAATAAAACTGAGAAAATGTTTGAAAATGACAGAAAAGGATTAATGTGAAGTGAAGCGGAACAGAGTGACCCACGATGAACCACGATGAACCACGGCAGTCCAAGCTGCAACAAAACATAAGTTAGAGATTGAGTGTGTGTGTGAGGATGTGTTTGTGTGTGTGTGTGTGTGTGTGTGTGTGTGTGTGTGTGTGTGTGTGTGTGTGTGTGTGTGAGAGTGTGTGTGTGTTTAATTAGGCCCTAACTCGTGACGGATCCTCCGTCACACTAACTAAACCACACATTGAAAATGGATCGTAGTAAAAGTTTGTAATTAACTTCAGAAATATAGTGAAATAAAAGAGAAATGTTCTTACTCTAGGAAAGTATGAAGTACTCCAAACATACGTAAGTAAAGTAGTGAAGTATTTTTACTGACAGCACTGGTTCTGAGTCAGCTTAACACGCTAAACATCATGACGTCATCAGGTCACGTTGATGATCAGTGTTAATTAGTAATAACACACACACACACACACACACACACACACACACACACTGACACCTGGACTTACATCAGTCTGAACCAACCAGGCGTCTCTTTATCTGTTTCCTTTGTGACTCAGCAGATCAAACGTCGTTTCCTCTGATAGAATCTGAATCAGTTTTTATCTTCATGACAAAAAGATAAAAACATGTTAATGTTGCTAATAAACACTAAAACCAACTGTTACTAAAACTCACACCAAATCTATTAGAGCCGGACCACACACACACACACACACACACACACACACACACACACACACACACACACACACACACACCCTCTCACACACACACACACACCCTCACACACATACACACATACACACACACACACACACACACACACACCCTCACACACATACACACACACACACACACACACACACCCTCTCATACACACACACACACACACCACACACACACACACACACACCCTCTCACACACACACACACACTCCTCCAGTCCAGCTCTGATTATTCAGCAGGTAAACTCAGTGAACGTTTCGTTCCTCAATCAGCCAATAAACGGCTTCGATCTGTTGAATCTGTGCTGCATATGGAACAACAATCATGACAACAATCTCAACTGAAATCAGAGTTTTCCCGACTCTGCATGTGGCCTTCAGCTCCTGGAAATATCTTTAAATATTTATGCAGCATCTTAAACGTGAAAACGCTGCAGTGAGGACCTGGTGAGGCGACCGCATGGTGGACGGTCACCTCTCAGCCAGACAGGAAACAAACTGGAACCAGCAGGACTTTAACTGGGCAGAGAAAGTCAGAATTCAACTGATTGACTGAAACTGTAGTTCTGCAGGAAGTTCAGCTTGACGAACGAGCGATCAATCATCTGATCAATCATCTGATCAATCTGATCAATCATCTGCAGGGAAACCAGTCAGGCATTATTAATCATTTCTTCCCTGGTTGGTTTAGATTCTAATAAATAACAAAACATCCATAATATGGAGAATAATAATAATGTTGACATTTATCAGTTGTTGCAGGAATCGTTTCCTCTGGGATTCTGCTGATTTTTCTCTGATTCTGGACTTTCCTGTTGATCTGCCAGATGAAGAGATGAATTATGAACGTGTGAAGATAACAGGAAGGTAACAGGAAGGCAACAGGAAGGTAACAGGAAGGCAACAGGAAGGTAACAGGAAGGCAACAGGAAGGTAACAGGAAGGCAACGGGAAGGTAACAGGAAGGTAACAGGAAGGTAACAGGAAGGCAACAGGAAGGTAACAGGAAGGCAACGGGAAGGTAACAGGAAGGTAACAGGAAGGCAACAGGAAGGCAACAGGAAGGTAACAGGAAGGCAACAGGAAGGTAACAGGAAGGTAACAGGAAGGCAACAGGAAGGTAACAGGAAGGCAACAGGAAGGTAACAGGAAGGCAACGGGAAGGTAACGGGAAGGCAACGGGAAGGTAACAGGAAGGTAACAGGAAGGCAACAGGAAGGTAACGGGAAGGCAACGGAAGGTAACAGGAAGGCAACGGGAAGGTAACAGGAAGGTAACAGGAAGGCAACAGGAAGGCAACAGGAAGGTAACAGGAAGGTAACAGGAAGGCAACAGGAAGGTAACAGGAAGGCAACAGGAAGGTAACAGGAAGGCAACAGGAAGGTAACAGGAAGGCAACGGGAAGGTAACAGGAAGGCAACGGGAAGGTAACAGGAAGGTAACAGGAAGGCAACAGGAAGGCAACAGGAAGGTAACAGGAAGGTAACAGGAAGGCAACGGGAAGGTAACAGGAAGGCAACAGGAAGGTAACAGGAACGTTCTGGTCCATTTTATTATTTTAGGCTTTAACATAAAAAACATTAACACACAGAAAGTGAAATAAAAGATGATTCAAGATGTGTTTAAAGACCCAGAGATCCGACTGGGAGTGTCGAGTTTCAGGTTCACCTGCAGAACTTTGGATCAGAACCGTGATTCAAACGGATCATTGAAAGCAGGATTTTTCTCAGGATTTGTGTTTTAGGAGCGTTAATTTGCTGCTGCAGCTGTTTGGACCAGTTCAATCTGGGAGCGTTTCCGAGCCAGAACCAGCGGCCCGGATTCTCTGATGCTGCGTCAGAACCGGACCGCAGCTCCATGACGTCACAGAACCACTTCAGAAGGAGCAGCTGCTGACGGAGAGCGCTGAGTCAGGCTGACGGGGCGGCTGGGCTGCACCTGCACGGAGACCAGCTCTGACCTCTGACCTCTGACCCACATCAGAAACATGAAAACCTCATGGAGGTTTAATCATCTGGCAATCAGCAGACAAACAGCTGGACCTGGAAACCCGACAGTCTGTCCTGAATCAGCCAGTAAACGGATCGACCTGCTGCATCCTGAACCGTCTCTGATGCATCAGGATGCAGAGACTCTGCAGGCCTGACTGTTCCCACACGCTGCTGCGTTCCCTCCTGCTGCTGCGTTCCCTCCTGCTGCTGCGTTCCCTCATGCTGCTGCCTTCCCTCATGCTGCTGCGTTCCCTCCTGCTGCGTTCCCTCATGCTGCTGCGTTCCCTCATGCTGCTGCGTTCCCTCCTGCTGCGTTCCCTCATGCTGCTGCCTTCCCTCATGCTGCTGCGTTCCCTCCTGGTGCTGCATTCCCTCCTCTGCTACGTTCCCTCCTGCTGCTGCGTTCCCTCATGCTGCTGCCTTCCCTCATGCTGCTGCGTTCCCTCCTGCTGCGTTCCCTCATGCTGCTGCGTTCCCTCCTGCTGCGTTCCCTCATGCTGCTGCGTTCCCTCATGCTGCTGCCTTCCCTCATGCTGCTGCGTTCCCTCCTGGTGCTGCATTCCCTCCTGCTGCTGCGTTCCCTCCTGCTGCTGCGTTCCCTCATGCTGCTGCCTTCCCTCATGCTGCTGCGTTCCCTCCTGCTGCGTTCCCTCCTGCTGCTGCGTTCCCTCCTGCTGCGTTCCCTCATGCTGCTGCGTTCCCTCCTGCTGCGTTCCCTCCTGCTGCTGCGTTCCCTCATGCTGCGTTCCCTCATGCTGCTGCGTTCCCTCATGCTGCTGCGTTCCCTCCTGCTGCGTTCCCTCATGCTGCTGCGTTCCCTCCTGCTGCGTTCCCTCATGCTGCTGCGTTCCCTCATGCTGCTGCGTTCCCTCCTGCTGCGTTCCCTCCTCAAAAGGTTTCAGAAATGAGGCTGTGAAGCTGCATGAATATTAAAATCTCCCACACAAACCTGAACTCCTGTGTAAATGTGAGGCCAGCTGTGCGGCCCGCAGCATTACCTTCCTCTTCAGCTGATGGATTTACATCCCATCAGGAGGAAGAGACGCAGCTGACGCGTCTGAGCCGCTGCAGGGGAAAGAAACTGGACCTGGACAGGAATAAAGCTTTCATTCATCTGAACGCGACCTGCTGGCTGCAGGACGAACCAGACGGATGAACTTTTCTCTCCACGATTTTCACGCTCTGCGTTTCTGCTCCTGTCTGGAAATCAAACTTTAACGACTTGATTCAGTTTGTTCCACTGAACCAGGAAAACATGGAAACGCAGCAGAACAAACATCTCGTGTTGCTGTTGGCTCATCGCAGGATGATGTCACAGAAACAATTATTGGTGCCTTCAGGGAGCGTAGGTCATCTGCATGATGCGTCTGACAGGCTGAAGATTTACAGCCGGAAACCTGAAGACACAAGAAAAACTACAGAGAAAAACATTAAAGTGAAGAAAACTGAACCAAATGAGTGGAATTAAATAAACCTGGACTGGACTAAACTGGACTGAACTGGATTGGACTGGACTGGACTAAACTGGACTGGACTGGTCTGGACTAAACTGGACTGGACTAAACTGAACTGAACTGGACTGGACTGGACTGGACTGGACTGGATTGGACTGGACTGGACTGAACTGGACTGGACTAAACTGGACTGGACTAAACTGGACTGGACTAGATGGACTGGACTAAACTGGACTGGACTGGACTGGATGGAGTTCAGCCGTTCTGCTATTGTAGCTGATTTTTTCTTACCTGTCTACATTTCGTTGCTTTGTACATGTGACAGTGCAATGACAATAAAGTTGAATTCTATTCTATTCTTCAGTCGTCGACTTTCTGCATCCTCTCTTGTATTTCACAGGAAATGAACACTTCCTAGTTATTCTTCATCCTCCAGGTTGAGGAGGATTTGAGGGTAACTGGGAAGAGATGAAGTCAGTCAGGTGTTTAGTTTTCCTGAGACGCCGTCCGTCCGTCTGATTTTACCACCACATGAAAATCTGGTTGAAAAGGAGCAGAAACCAGACGCTGGTGCCGAGCAGCAGGGATGTGAGGATGAGACTCAATGAGGATGAGACTCAATAAGGATGAGACTCAATGAGGATGAGACTCAATGAGGATGAGACTCAATGAGGATGAGACTCAATGAGGATGAGACTCTGTGAGGATGAGACTCAATGAGGATGAGACTCAATGAGGATGAGACTCAATGAGGATGAGACTCAATGAGGATGAGACTCAATGAGGATGAGGCTCAATGAGGATGAGACTCAATGAGGATGAGACTCAATGAGGTTGAGACTCAATAAGGATGAGACTCAATGAGGTTGAGACTCAATAAGGATGAGACTCAATGAGGATGAGGCTCAATGAGGATGAGACTCAATGAGGATGAGACTAAATGAGGATGAGGCCCAATGAGGTTGAGACTCAATAAGGATGAGACTCAATGAGGATGAGACTCAATGAGGATGACTCAATGAGGATGAGACTCAATGAGGATGATGCTCTCAGTCAACCTATCTACGGTTTCATCTCTGGACGTCTCCAGGTCACTCACTGACTGTCGGCACCGATCCGGTCCGGTCCGGTCCGGTCCGGTCCGGTCCGCCTGATCTGACAGTAATTATTCCCCAAAGCTCCAGAAAACTTTCCTGCTGGTTTGTTTTACGTTTCTCCCACTGTGGGAAAAATCTGCTTTTCATTGAGACGTTTTGTTGATGACGGTTTCAAACCGTCGAGTTTAGAAACCCGACTGAAGCTGAGACAGAAACTCAGAATCTCTGTGTCTTTATAGCATCAAACCTTCAGGGATTTTTCAGCTTTTCCTCTTTTAATAAAGTGTGAACAGAAAACGGAGTGAAGCAGAAAAGCAGCTAAATAAACAGCAACAGTTTGAGTTTATTTTCAGCTTTGAGGAAAATGAGTCGACTTCCTGTCCAGATGAAATGATCCCAGTTTATCTGTTCACACTGAGTTTTAATTATGAAGGAAGAAACAGGCTGATCCAATAAACTGGAGAACCAGAACCCGACCCGGTGCCGCCTGGATGATTATGACAGAACCAAACTGTTTGATGAATGAGGAGGAAACGGAGCTGGTGATGTAACACTTCGCATGGGGCCCATTTCTGCCGACACTTCCTGCCTGATATCATCCGTCCGCTCGGCGTTCGCTCGGCGTTCGCTCGGCGTTCGCTCGGCCTTTGCTCGGCGTTTCCAGCCTGGATCTTTCCCGACGTCTTTCTGCTTCTGCTCTTATTTTATTGCTTCAGTTATTATCTGGAAATGATTCTGGATTCCTCCTGAAAACATGACAGCAGCACGAAGCAGCTGCAGTTGATCTGAAACTGATTTCATCTGCAGGCAACCAGCAGCAACATCGACACATTGAGGTTAAAGGTCACGGTGTCAACGCGGCTCCTCATCACAGGAAGTCGTTCAGATGTGGATAAATCTGTTAAATCCATTGTTTCTATGAAACATTTGCTCTGTTAAAGAACATCTCTTCTCATCATGTTTCTGATCTTCCTGCAGATCCTGTGAAGGATCTGCAGAGATCACTGCGACTCTCTGCTGCCTCCTGCTGGATCTGAGCTCACATTACACTGTAAGCCTCTGATTTGCTGCTGGTTTTCATGTCACATTTTCCTCCATGTGTGATATTCCTACAGTTTTAGGTGTTACTGTAACTTCCTGGACCTGGGTCACATGACCTGCCTGAGGTTTATTGTCTGATCCACATGTTGTTCATGAACAGTAACATGATGTCAAAAGCTGCGTTTTTGCTGCGTTTTGCTGTGTTTTTGCTGTTTTCTGTCGTCTTCATTGAAACTGAAGCGTTTCTCACAGTAGCTGCAGTTACAAGCTAATAATCACAAATTCAGCTTTTAAGGACAGAAGGGAGAAATAAATATCGTTTCTCTGCATCGTCTGTCCGTCATCCGTTCACCTTTGACCCCAGCGGGGTCAGGAGGAGCTGCTGCCTCCAGAGGCGGGGTCACCTGGACAGGAAGCTGACTCGCGGTGGTTTGACCGGACATTCATCTTGTTGGGTTTTGTCTCTGTGGGCCGTGAAGGGAACCAGAACCAGAACCAGAACCAGAACCGTCTCCAGCGACGCTCAGCTTTGTAGAACAGAACCACACAACTTTACCACTTCCTGCTCCGTCTGCACTTTGACCTTTCAATAGTTTTCTGGTTCTGCTGAACAGAAACTTGTTCTGTTCACATTCTGTAAATAAGATGCAGATCATCCTGAATATTTATGTGTTTAATCTGTTGCAATACTCAGATTATTCATTCTGTCATTTGTGAAGAGAGAAGCGCTGCACGTGGATGATTGTCATCGTTCTCCAGAAACTGCTGAGTCGTCATGTTGAAAGCTGAGCCATCATGAAGCTCTGAGTTCAGACCTGAGATCAGCTCAGAGGATCAATATCTGCTGCATGGATCAATGTCTGCTGCATGGATCAATATCTGCTGCATGGATCAATATCTGCTGCACGGATCCTCTGAACACCTCAGATTCATGTTTCCTGCTGAAATCAGTTTGTGAAGCGTTGTGCCTGTCAGGCAGCAGCTGCTTTGTTTTCCAGACTGTTTCATGGAGTGAAGGATGATCAGGACGAAGCTGAAGATCCAGCTGACCGACCCAAAGACCAACCTGCAGACAAAATGCATGAAATGCATGAAATGCATCACCTATCATCCACATTTCAATAAACACTGAATGTTTTAGCACAGAATGAACCACATAGATTGAATTGTAGTTTGCTGGGATCTCTGAACAAAGTCTGCCCCCTGCTGGCTCACTGAATAACTTCACCACCTTTGTTCAGGTTGTGCAGTTTGTCAGAGATCAGCTGTTCCTCTCTGGCCTCTGACCGAACTGGACCGAACTGGACCTGAGTCAGAACAGCTTGGAGGTCCAGATGGAGGCAGCAACTAGTGGAGAGTCCAAACTACAACCTGGAGAAGCTGCAGTCAGGAGCTTTAATGTTCAACCTGAAGCCGAGTGGATGATTCATATATGATGCTCTCTGATTGGAGAACCAGACGGACTAGAGCCAATCACAAAGTCTGGAACAGAAGGAGTCAGTCATTATGCGTCTGAGCTGCAGTTCCTGATGATCCAGAGGTAAAACCTGAAATGATGAAGCTGCACTGACTTCCTGCTTCTGTCCTCAAATGTACAAACATTCATGTCTTACAAGTTTTTCTTTTCAGGGAACAAAACCAAAGATTTGTCATCAAAATGATTCACAAGTTCATTAGTTTGCATCTGAATCCAAGTTGCTTTTTGCAACAGTTGCAGCCAAATGTTTTACTGGATCATAAAAGTTGTCATTTCCTTTATTTGCAGGAATAATTTCATGAAAATTAGTTTCACATTCTCTTTCCCCATATCTCAGCCACATACTGAAAATACCAACAACAAATGATGTTTCTGCCGTTTCTTCACTTATTTCTGAAGCTGTGAGGAAAACAAGGCGACTGAGAATCATGCTGAGAAAATAACATCAGACCAGGAGCCACAGCTCCTCTCCACGCACAGAGAGGAGCCTAGAGGAGCGGCAGACAGACGATAACAGCAACAAGCTGCTGCTTCAATAAACAGAATCATATCATCAATAAACAGAATCATATCATCAATAAACAGAATCATATCATCAATAAACAGAATCATATCATCAATAAATAGAATCATATCATCAATAAACAGAATCATATCATCAATAAACAGAATCATATCATCAATAAACAGAATCATATCATCAATAAATAGAATCATATCATCAATAAATAGAATCATATCATCAATAAACAGAATCATATCATCAATAAACAGAATCATATCATCAATAAACAGAATCATATCATCAATAAATAGAATCATATCATCAATAAACAGAATCATATCATCAATAAACAGAATCAT